TGATTCATGTGCCTCACACATGAATTAATGCACTCTAATTAATTAGACATTTTCTTTTTCATACAGCAAACTGACATGTACAAATTATATGCATTGCAACAAAATTCACATATTATGTTTTCCAACAAGTTTTATGGCACAAGGTGATATTTCTACATTCTGTGCATTAACTTTCAAACATGGAATTAGTCATAACCTACTTTTAGATCACAGGTTAGGTCAAATACTAACTTCTGTTTCTTTTACCTACCAGTTGCTTAAAGGTCAAGACCATGTCCTGCTTTATTGTACTCCAGTTAATCAAAAACCCTGACGCCGTATCACATGTTCTTCACAGTTCACCCCTAAAGGATTTTAAAAGCCAAGGGATCTTCAAGTGACAATGAATTGCATTGTTTTTCTTTATCAAATGCATCATAGTTTTAAATTACATTTTGGCACCGTTAATGAAGCCTTTATGCAGCAAGAAAATAAATATCTTTTTCTCAAACTTAAGTGAACGGTTCATTTGAACTTTTGATCCAAAAGATCTTATTCCGGCTGAAGCAACGGACAGCATGTTTTAGAAAGTCGGATCCTATTTATATTTCAAATACTTTTTCCGTGAAAATCACCTATCAAAAGCAAGATTTGCAAAATGACTGAGTCATTTCAGAAAGTTTTGTTTCCCTCATGCAAAGCAATATATTTTAGTACTTTGTAATATGTTCTCCTCTTTCAAACAAACTATATTTAAAATCATTCTCAGGAAATTCACCTATTCACAGTTTTGTTTTGTTTTTATCATTGGGCATGTCTACAAAATCCTGATGAAAATGCAGCCAGAGATTGTAATGTTTTCAGTTGTCCATGTGTTAATTCATTGTTAAAGGAGCTTCACCTGGACAGAATGTCAGGTAGTTTGCTGTGGATGAAGTCCCGCATGCATTGGTGTTCAGAGGATCGCTCCAGAAAAAGGTGGAAGGATCTCTGGTACCGATCATCATCATGGACTAGACTCTTCAGTGGGGATCCCATGATTCCTGTCTGGAAAAGAGGTGATTCATTTAGGTTTATACACTTTAATCAAATTAACTTTATGCTTTATGAAGATAGTCCCTCCATGGGGTCTCAAGACCTCTAACATGTGTTCTTGCTGTATTTATTAGGTTCTTTTATCCTGCTATTAACTCTGACCTGATTCCCTGTCCACACTAAAAAACATTCCCACAGGATGATGCTGCCACTGTGTTTTAATCAGATGTTGATTGAGGATGTGCATCACAAAAAAACCCATCCAAATAAAGTACAATCAAGTTTATCATATGTAAATTATGCAAAGTAAGAAAGTGTATATCTAATTTCACTTACAAATAAAACTGGAAACATTCTGTCTCTGTTCTGTGTGACGTTTTAATTTGACTGAAACACCGAACAGCACAAACAAGAACAGAAGAGAGAGACTGTCAAATGGGATCTGCTAGGATTGTCTTAAAACAGTCATGTATGACTGAACGTCAACACACCAAAGAGTAGTTCTCCATTACTGGAACGCTAAATCTGGAAATCCATCTCGCTTTTCCTCTTCCCTGTTTTATTGCGACAGAGCTGCTCGTTTATTGATTTAAGCGGCAGCGGAAACGCAGAGCTGCAGGCGCCGTCACGTCCCCTCGACATAATGACAGTGCAGCTGGTCAGAAACCGACAAAACACGTCCGTCCTCCACTCAGTGAACGGCAAAAAAAAAAAAAAAAAAAAAAAGAAGAAGAAGAAGAAGAGCGAGTTGCATCGTTCGCTAAGATTTTTTGAAAAGCAAATCGTGACCATGTAGACTTACTACAGAGCTCCGGCAGAGCGGCGTCCGGGAAGGTGGGAGGCTGGAATGAACCCTCCCACATGTGTCACAGCTTCCTCCCTGGAGGGAGGGCGAAAGGTGGCGGAGGAAGAAAACCCGTCTTCCCGAGGCCTGGGCGCTCCAACTACAACCTTTTCCTCTGAGATAAGAATTTATGTATCCTGTGAAAGACCTGACTTTCTAAACTGACTTTACTGCCTTGCATTTCATTGCAATAGGTTTGGTCAAAACTGGGAAATGTCATGTTCACAGGGGGTCCAAGAGCAGAACTTCAGCCTGATTTGGACTTACTTTTAAATTGTCTGTGGTGGGATTAATATTTTAACCAGGTGGTCGATGATAGCCCAGAGAGTTAAAATGTTTTCAATAGAATTGCATCAAATACATTTTAAATTGCAAAAATAATTTGCTAGATATTGAAAGTTCCAGTATTTATGGATATATGAGCAAATACATTTATTCACAGGACATTTAAAGAACTATGTACATTTAAAATCAGTAAAAATATCCAGGCAGAGATTTTAAATTTACGGCCAAGTTTTTAGAGTTTCCCACAAATGGTTCCAGTAGGAGACAGTTGGAAGGCAGCAACCTGTCCCACCAGTCTCTTGATGTCTTCTATTTCATTCATTATTGGACACAAAGTTATGCTAATAATGTCATACTCTTAGTAATAAACGCATTTTCATTAGTCCTGCAATTAGCTTTTGAAAAATTTTAATTGGGAAACATTTGGGTTCAGGGAGAGAGTCATTAATTGCCTTTTTCGAGTGCCACTGAGTTTTCCATACGCTTTAAAAAACTGCCAGGTCACTGTTCATGTCAGACTCGACTTCAAAGTCCTTTCATTAATTACACAAGGTTGCACCATCTTCCCTCTTTGGTCTCATTGTTTTCCATGTCACCTTTTCTCTGTCAGATACAAAGTTACAGGGTTGAAAAGGAGACACACACACACAAAAAATAAAAATCAGGAGGTGGAAAAGTTAGCACTTTTCAGCCATGATCCATCTAATTGGAATGAACACCCTCCTGCAAATGATAAAAGAGATTTTCAGTCTGACTAACTGCGTCTAATTCTGTGCCATATGTTCATTATAGGCACTGTTAAAACCTCCTTCTCCCTTTTTATCTCTGCTTACGCACACACTGTCACACCTATCTGCACTCAGTAGAAAAATTACACACAAGTTCAGCTCACAACACTCAGTTTATCATCATTAATTAGTCTTCAACCTCACAGATGTTAGGTGCTGTGAGGTTGGACTGGATGAAATAGTGCTTTGAGCTCAAATTAAAATTAACCAAACTAACCTGCACAGAGTTGCATTGTTTTATCAGATTTACCTCATCCATTTGTTTTAAATATCTATTTTTAATTACCAAAATCGACTAAGCACGACACCCTGCACAAGACTCTGGACGACGTCACTCTGTGTTTTTAGTTATTTTTTTGGTTGATTTGTTACTCATAGGTTGAATTTTGTAAACAACAAGCAGAGATATATAAATTCAATTCAAATCCATGTTCCAGCATATCAATTTAATCATCTTATAAATCATTAAATTAAGATTTTATGTGCATTTAAAAAAAAAAAAAAAGTCAATCTGAATGTATCAAATATTTCTGCACATAATTTATGGGTGAAAAAAATTGAAAAATAATTCTCTTTACAATTCATAAAAAGTAAGTTAAAAAAAAAACATATTGAGAGCATCTCTGAGGTTGCCAAATACTAAACAAAAGAACCGAAGCAAAAGAAAAACAATCAGGTGTCTGGCTGAAACTAATTAAATCTCTAACTTTGACTCAGCACAAGGTAACCACACCTTTCTGGCACTGCACTGCCCTCTTGTGTTTAAACAATATATAACTACCAAATAAGGTCAAGAACAGTGAAGAAAGAATCCATCTGTTCCATGTGCAACATAATAATGATAATGATATATAGCAGTGGTTCCCAAAGATTTTCTGAGGCCCCCTATGGACTACAATAACCCCCCTCAAAAAAAGAAAAAAACAAAATCAACTGGACCCACATCGTTCAACCAGACATAAACCTACACACATATTTTGTTTTCAAACTCCACTGAAGTTTATTTCACACTTCAGGTTGCAACAAAACACACTACAAACCATTTTTACAGTGAAACACTGTTCCCTCGTCCTCCATGCAATGGCACGGTGCACCCCTTAGGGGCCGCGCCCCACACTTTGGAAACCACTGACATATAAAATCAGAGTAATTGGAATAACAGAGCAAGTAACTTTTGAAACCCATAGTGATAATATCTATAAAAACTTGATGTCAGTGGAATATGAGAAGGCTTGATGTTTTGATTTAAAGACGATATGCATTTCATAACTCTGCCCCATGATGCAGTTCTACAGTACATGGAGGAAGTTGTATGTTTAATATTTATTGATATGCGTTTCTGACAAACTTCTTTGTGAAAAAATAAAACCTCAAAGAAAATTGATCTCAATATTCTTTGAACTCTAATCATTTATGTAGGTGCATAGAGATGTAACAGGCAGGGAGGTTCACTCACTGCTTTTTTATTTATGAGCTTTATGAAAGAAATATGAAATCTTTTATATGATGAATGAAATTACATAGTCCTGACTTTGCCTAGAGAATATTGGTGTTCTGGGTGGATGAGAAACACAGTTATTGGTAGAAAATGATTAGTGCACGTCACCCTGAAAGCAGCACCCTGCTGTGGCGATTCATTTCCTGTGTGGTCAAAGATAATGCAAGGATAGATGGGTCAAAATGCAAAATGTTAGGGGCTGCAGAAGCACTGAGACTGTGACGTTGTCCCTAAACACTCATTGGGAGACTAGAAGGATAATACTTTCACAGTTTCATTTTCTGGGATGCAGATGAACACATTTTCCATTTCTAGGTAAAAAAAAAAAAAAAAAAATAGCAATAAACATTCATTGTTTAAAATGGTCCCACAAACGTTTACGTTTTTTTCTCTCTCTGCTCTGACGAATTTAATTAAGAGTGTTCCTGTTTACTTATAGGAACAAATTTAATAAATTAAAACGAAAAGATCAAACTGTCACGCTGCTCATAAATCTTAACTAAAACGTCCAAATGTGTCTTGAAAGATGCACAAATGAGATGAATTGGACATGACAAGATTGGCCCCCGTCTTTGCCATGGATCAGATGGCCGTGACACAAGCGTTTTAATTCAGCCTTGTCTTAAGCAAAAGTGACAGGATTAAATAAATGAATTAAACGAGACAAAGATTTAAACTCTGCTTCGCTCGCAGCCCGGGATTATCCTGGGACAATCGGACAGGAAATCTGACTGGAGAGCAAAATGAATCTTATCAACTGCTTATCTGTTCTGGGCTTCGCCTTGGAGCCTGGGGTAATTACAACATATCAGATGTATCAGGACTTGAAAGTCAAGGAGCCATGAAAGATCTTTGCTGGTTTGGAGCTTCTGTCTTATACATATTCCTCTCAAAGAGTGGGTAGTGAGAGAAACGCAGGCCCTTTTCTTTGATTTTCACATGATTTCACAATTTATTTGCATTTTGTCCAGTTCTCCATGTACACACAATAGTAACACAAACAGCTTAGGTACTGTAAACTGTAGGCAAAGATGTTTCTCAATCTGTCGACACACCCAAAGGAGATCTCATAAGCATCTAAGAACACAAATGTTTCTAGTTAGCTTATGATATGTTGTCAAGAGCATCAGAACACTTAAAATTTGGGTTTTTTCCCAACTTTTTACCATGTGTGCTTTTTGCTTCCCGAATCTCAGAAACAGTGCGCTAGAAGAGACTATTCTAAAATGTTTGGCAACTTATGAAACAGAGACTTTTTGCAAGGCCACTTGGAGCGCTCTCTGCCAAAATAGATCAAGCATGCCTACGTACAGAGACAGCTGCCGAAATACAGTTGTTGTGACATGTAACAACCATATTTGTACAACCAGAGGGATTATAGAGTGGCTGAATGAATACATTCAAGATGAGGTCACAAACAAGAACAGGTGCATCTCATTAAATAAGAATATTCACGAAAAGCTAGATTATTTCAGTAATTCAGTTACAGGCAATGAAACGGGAGGATTACATAGATTTGATACACACAGATGGACAAATTTCAAGAAATAATTTCAACGACTGAACATTTAAAATTTAAGTTCTCAGAAAATTGAGAACTTACTGAAAAGTGTGTCCATGTGCCAATCAGGCAATGCATTTTCTGTTAGGGAGATGACATAATCCATTTTTACAATCTGTTTTGGTTGTGTGGCTTTTATTTCCTTTACTTTAAAAAAAAACTTTCATTTATTTTGGATATCAACAGTGTAATTGAAACAATTTAAAGTGTTCTTTCCAGATTCAAAGCTTATTAGACTTCAAGAGGACAAACTTGAATTTTTGTGCCATCATCAATATATAACTTGAAAATGGTCACAAACCAACTTTATTTCTTATCTCTATAACTTTAGGGACTATTTGTTATCAAGTAAAATTTGCCTAATACCTCTTTTGTGATATGAGTAGATTAAAGCAGCGTGGCATGAAGAGAATTTTGAATATCAAATTTGTGAGCAGGCTTAGTTTCGGATTCCTCTGAGCGCTGCGGTTAAATCCCTGCTGCTTGTGCACTTTTTCCTCACACTCAACTTTCCACTTTGCTATGACACTGAATTTCCAGCTTCAATGTTGTTGTGGAAAGTTTCAGTGACTCTCTGCAGGAAGACTGTCAAGTCAGCAGTCTTCACAATGACTGTGTAGGTCATAACATTGCCACTGTTGTATTTATGCAATTTGCTTTTTACAACAGTGCTCTCTGTTTTATGAAGAAAAATAGTTTCATTAGCTAAGAGCTATAATTATAAAAATGAATGACATTAATACTCATATCACTGCGTCTGATGAATCTATAAAACACGAGTTTACATTTTTTAACTTAATCACAGAAATAAAGTAACTTTTCAATTACATTCAAACTTATTGAGATGCAAATGTGAATCTCTTTCATTAGTGGAGGCCAAATGAGAAACAGCTTCATACCTGGTGAGCACCAAAATCACCAAACACAGGAAATACGGATCCTCCACTGAGTTGAAAAGAGAAGTGAAGGTGAAAAGGATTTTAAAATCCACTCAAAGGCTTATTAAAAATCATTTATGCACTGAGCTGCAAGAGAAAATAAATGAAAAAGATAATAAACTGGGTTGAATGACAGAAAACTCCACAGATTTGAGAGTGAAGATCATTAATGTGTTCACGAATATTTGGTATTTGCAATCTTTTCTTCTGGCTGTACCAAACTATTGCCATTTTTTTCAGTTAATTGAAACATTGTAAGGAGTAATGATTAAAAAAGAAGAATAATGAACAATTTTCTTGAAAACAAATAGACACAGATTAGGCATGTAGTAGTTGGTCTCTCTTCTGCTGCCAGAACAACCTGAACCTGTTGACATAATGAAAATAATGAACTTTTCAATGACTCCACTACGGCTCTGGACGGATCCTCAGGTATTTGGAGTCAATATGTTAACAGCAGCCCTTTTTGGTCCGGTAAGATCGAAGGTCAGGCCTGCTTGGATTGGACTTATTTGTCTAGCACATACTGAATTAAACAGATCTGGGGATTTGGCAGCCAAGTCAGCACCATAAACCATTCTGGGTTTGTGGCATTGTGCACAAACCCAGTAAGACTGCACCAGTGGTGTTCATGGTCTGCATCACTGGTGGGGCATCATAGAGCAGAACACACTAACCTGGCCATCCACCTGATACAAAGGCCAGGCCACCTTCTTCTGTTGCTCTGTAACATTTCATTTTTACTGCTAAAGACAATTTTAGAAAACACAATGTCATTAATTTTGTAATTGACAGGGCCCCACTTTTTAAAATTATTTTTATTGACAAAAAATAAATAAATAAACACATGGTGGAGGGCCCCTTGTTGGTTAGGGGCCCTTGGAATTATCATAATCTTTCCCCCTTGTATGATTGTCTTCTCATGGGAAAAAAAACAATCACTTGGCAGGGATCACTGGCCAATGAATAATATCTACAAGCAGAATATTTCTAATACCCATTAGGATTTTATCGGGAGTCATATTACAAAATTACTCAAGAGTTACAATAAACAGAAACACAGCAATTGAGCTATTTTGACTGTCATAGCTCATCTGTGTTGGACCACAGCAGCCAGTCTTCTACTTCTTTGGGCCTGCAATCAGTTCATCACCTTTTTGGACCTCTTTCAATAGATACCGATGGCTGCAGATTTTGAAAATCCTGCATAAGCTGCAATTCTGTAGATGTTCTGACCGATCTGAATAGCCCTTGTCAAACTCACTGACTTACACTTTTTGTCCTGCTTCTAACTGATGAATTTGGAGGAAAACATTTTCACTTCCCACCTAAATCTTTCTCATCTAAGGTGTCTGCCTGTGGTCATAATGTTATGCTTGAGTAACCCTGCCAACATCTCCTTTATATTTAAGTGATAAGTGCTGTTTTGCTTTGCATCACATTAAAAGTGTGTATGAGGTATGATTTCAATCATGCTGGTTCCCAATCTTTTAATTTACATGTTTGTTTTATTATTATTATTTTGTTCTAAAATGCACTAAAATGGTATTTTATTGAGTAAAAATGATATTAACTTGAAGCTGAATTGTGTTTTCTATGGCTGGGAGTCACTTCAGAACGGAGAAATAGCCAAATTACATTTGTCCTTAAACTCGAGGCAAGCTTTGATTTTGGTTTCCACGTAAACACAACATATTGCATCATCAATTATACACAATCAGACAGCAAAAATAAATTAAGACTTGCATTACGGTTAAAACACTAGAAAAGTCATCAAAAAAAAAAAAAGCATCAGCACTAACATAGTGCATAAACCATCTTATTTGTTTGAAAATAAGAAATAAAAGAGATTATCCAAAGAGCTTGAGACATTACCTTTCACAAAGTTCAGTAACTATTGAGAAAAATTAGAATGTGTAACTACAAACTGGAGCATCTCCAAAACAAATAAAAAATAAAACAAAGAAATGTCGTCCCTCTGATTGTTGACACTTCAAAAACCTCCACAGTGGATTCGCTTGTGGATTCATTTTGTCTTTAGTGCCTGAAAGTCTTCTTGCTTCATCATTTGCAAATGGTGCTTGGACCGTGTGTTCACGTTGCAGGCAGTTCTAGAAAAAAAGGATCTCGAGGTCCATATCTCAGTCTTGGCTCAACTGGCTGTGGCTCCACTTGTTTGATCCGGCCATTATTCCACGCCGTCAACAGCAGACCAAATCGCTTTACTATCGCAAACGTAACCTGGCTCAAGCAGGTCGGGGTTCGTGTTTGGCAACAATGCATACAAGGCCAGAATCCCGCCCAAGGCCAGTCATGTGGTACAGCAGCCAGGTTACATATCCACATCGCCGTCATAAGCAAGAGTCAAGGGCTTCTGCAGTGGAGGGGATGCCGTAGAGGTTTTGGATGGCTTGCTAAAAAACACCGAGAGACAAGACACAAAAAGCTCAGAAAGCAAGTAGTAGCTTGGTGCAGCACAAGGCAGTCCAACTTGATTTCAGTCTTTAAAAAGAATTTCATTAACTGATAACAGGAGCTCACAACAGACAAAGTAGTGTGGAGGAGTATAGCTCATTCTTGACAGGGTTGTGCTGGAGGAAAGAAATTTCTTATTGCCTCTCCATGTTTATGCTTTTCTCATACCAAGTATGTGCGTGCGTGAGAGAGAGACCTACAAAGAAGCTCCTGCTTTAACAATCGTATATGGCAAAACATTTTGAAGAGAGCGCAATTGGACATACCAGATCAGGATTGACAGCGTGAAGATGAAAAGTACTATAACGAATCCAACGATGGCTACCGCATAAACCCACAGCTTTACTCTTCCATCTGCGTAATCAAAAGGGAGATTTTAAATAAAGAAATTTAAAGATTGTTTAGTCATAAAACTCTGTTCCCACATACCGGCACAGAGATATTTAATGTGGTCAAATTATCTTGCTGAAACATGTTACACCTCTAGCAGGAGTTTGCGTGACACACCATTTGAAATAAGTGGACTTGTCCAGAGGAAAGAAAATTATGTCATCTGTTGTGTGTCTTTACAAGCTTTGCAAAATAATAGTAAATTCAAAATAAACCATTCAAAACCATTTATAAGTTTTCTTCAACTTCTAAATGATCAGGATTAAAATCCCAATAAAATACACATAATCCTGTGATTGCAATGTTACAAAATATTAGAAAAAAACTCAAGAGGTTTCAATACTTTTACAAGGTACTGAATGAAGTCCATTGTGCTTTTTCCCACAGATTATAATAAGGAGTACTGCAAATACATTAGAATGTGCAACCTAAAGAGCCATTAGCTTTCAGGACAGCCAAACTCAACATGTTTGTCACATGATGTTTTAGACAAATATCTACTTTAGAAAATTTCTTGTCATTTCTAATTTTAGGAATTGATATAACAATAATTCAAATTCAAAAATACTTTATTAATCCCAAAGGGAAATTAAATAAACATAAATATAATACTGCTACGTTCTGTGGAAATTCAGTAAAAAATAAATTAAGTGTTTGTTATTTCATTATCTGGTCCCTATTAATTTTTATGGAAGGTCTAAAGAGACACTTGCTCTTCTCTTCCCTTTATCCATTTATTTTACAGGTATTTCTAGGAGCAGGAACAATGTCAGTCATGCTGATTGATTGGTGCAAATAATTTCCATTTCAGTACCTGGGCCAACCGGCCTTAAGGTCCACTCGCTGAAGAGATCGTTGGACTGAGACGGCCGGGGTTTTAATCTTCCAGAGTTAGTTTTCACATCGGCTTTCTTGCTGTTGTCCACCCCGGGGGTTCTGGTGCAGTAGTCCAAGAAGCCGTGCGAGGTCATCACTTCAGTGTAGCCCTTCTCACACCCACACACTCCACTCTGCACGAAAAGGTACCAAAAACACAAGACAACGTGCAGTGCAGTTACGTGAGGATACTCTCAGGGGCAGTAGAAGATCAAGCTGTGGTCATTAATTCTCCTTCCCCACCCTAAACAACCTCACAGGTGTACATCTTAACTGACACAAATAGCTAAATGAATCTTATTATCTTCTAATGGCCAGCTTTATGAAATTAAAAACGTCACATATCACGATCCATGCAGCCTCCCACCAAGAAGTACGTGAGCAGAAAACAACACAAAAAACTCCACAGAGACCACAGCGTCCTGACGGAAACACGGCGATCTTACCGGCGTGCAATGCGAGAAGGGTTTTGTGCAGGGAGGATGGCAGTGTCGAAGGGTAGTGGGCCTTTTCTGTGGGAAACACCCCCCTGAGAAGACAACACATTCTTATTTCTGTTCCTTTACCCATTGATCAGCAAATTAATGCTGTCACAGCTGATTAATGGGTTCAGGTTCCTATCGGGGTCCCTGATCAATTGGTGAACATTTTAATTCCAACACAGAAAATTGCATGTCAGAATATCAAAGAGTAATGCCATGGGCTTTTGGGTTCCCTGCCAAAGCAGGTTTTCATTTTTTTTCCCCTTCTGGTTTTATATTTGCCAGAAATACTTGGAGCGATAAGATCACATTCGCCTACTATTTACAGCATATCAAACCTGCCTAAAGCTGTTTTATTCCCACAACAGTCATAGTTTTGTTCTGTTTCTCCGAGGCTGGTTTACTTCCTATAAATACAAATGCGTGATTATATTTATATGGATTGAAAGCATCCCAGCTCAGTGCGGTTTATTGATCACTTGCGTTGAAAAGGAGGAAAAGAACAAAATCAATTGATCCTGGTGTGGGAATAGGCACATCAAATAACATGTTCTTACAACAGTGTACTGAAACTACTCTGTGAGAGTGAATCTTCAGGCACTGGTTGAAGTCAGCTTGGCCAAGTCAGAAGCAAGTCAAGTCTTTAGCGACTAAAATTAACATTTCATATGAAATGTATCCTGTCTGGCCTGCCGAGAAAGAAAATATATATAGGTTATGAAATCAAATGACCATCTTTCAGTTTATTTCAACAGATAATTTAATTGTTTTGTCCTTTTCAGAATGTTCATCATGCAAAAACGCACAATAGTTACCCTCAAAAGACATATATAGGCCTCTATGTCAAAGGAAACTTCATTAACTCCAAAAAAATAACTGAGCAAAACCTGTCTGTCTCCTTCTTTTCTTGCTTTGCCACCCTAATTGTTTCAGAGCTTAAAATACATTTTTGAAAGAACAAATACAAAATAGTTTTCAAATGTTGATTTAACTTGTTTGGGGGAAAGGAAAGGTTATTAAAATATGGATGGTGAGAGGAGATAAGAAAAATTGTAGATATTAGCTTCTGCAGCAGTGCTAAGATGGTTTTCACTGTGCTTATTAATGCATATTATTTTAGCCATTAATATTGGCAGGTATAATAATTTTTCAAGTGTTTGTGGATTTTATCCATTTTCAGGCTGATGTGGTCCCTAAGCCCTTTGACCAGTGGGAATCCACTGTAATACATAGGTCAGTTTAAAAGACGAGTAAATGATTCATGGTCCATTTTCACTCCTGATAACATGAGATAATAATTTTTCATGAAACTTTAGTCTTGCAACTTAAGTGCTTCTCTGGTCCTCATCTCTGCCTTCATGCTTGTCTGAATTCGTGACTGACAGAAAGCACAGTCCATATGCTGGCATGGAAAGTTTCAATCTCATCTGAGTTTTGCTATATATCTGGAAAAGATCTTATCCGTAGAACCAAAGCCCACTGACAGCTTAATAGCTTTGGAATTTCTAAAGATGATACTTTTGCAATTCAGCAATGTCAGATCTTTGCAGATGTCGCATTTCCTATTATCTCCTGATCCAATAAGGTGCTATTTTCTTCTAAATGTAATTCAAAACCACCTGCTCCAGCCACTTCTGGAAAAAAAAAAAAGTTTTCAGTTTGACAGTTTTTAGAGACAAATGAAAGGAGATTCACTTCATGTCTGAGTTGCACATTTCATTTTAGAGCTACAGACTTATTCTTTAGTGTGGGACACGTCCATGTGATACAAAGTGAAAAAGGCTTCAACTGTGTCAGTGCAGGGGAACAGAAACAGAAATTGCACACATTCAGCCGCTGGACTCATAGGAATTAGGCAATATCGCCGTTTTCCTAGCAGATATTGATTGCAACCCATCTGGAGACTGTAAGTCTTCACCTGTGACATTAACACCATCTGAGCGTTGACACCACACTGGCCTCTTGTTGTTTGTCCATCCCCCTGTTTTCCACTGGTAACTGTGGCATTTTCCTCCTGTAGCAATGGCAGAGAGAAAGATGCAATCCTCATTAGCAGTTTATATTGGTTTTCCACACCTGTTCTCAGGCTCCTACAGATGTTAACCTCCACTTCCCTGAGGCCTACACCTTTATATTATAAAGCTGAGACATATCATGAGTACAAAGACAGGACAAAAAGAAATAAAATAGAAACCCCTCAACTTGGGCAGCATGCAAGACAGTGGCAACTTTGGATAAAATTAGGTAAAATTGGTTGAAAATATATGAATTGAACCTCTTTTTGCAATCAAAGCCCTTATTTTCCTGAGGGAGACTCTACAGAAAGGTTGATTTGAAGAGAAAAGCAAAGACGGACAGAACTGATTTGTAGGACTGAAAAAAGCGCAGCCTCACAAAGCTGCAATTTAGGACACAACAGAAAGTACAGAATTGAAGTTGCACATCAGGGTTACTGCAGTGGGTACAATTTTAAAATAAATATATTTGAATTTATGTGTAAGTTTAAGTTTCATATGTTAAGAAAAGGAAGGCTATTATGGTTATTGGGTGTATGAAGGTATTCAGGGCTTTTACTACTGCTGCTTCACAATAGTTGTTGCACATTAGAGAGGCTCCTTCACTGCTTTTATAACTCCTCTTAAAGCCGTTTCTTCTTCTTTGGCCTTCAATAATTAGCTAAACATAGCTTGACCTTGCTTATTTTAATTAGTTGCATTGTATTTAATATTTTACTGTTTCTATGCTTTATTAATACATGATTGTTATTTTTTAATTTTTATATTTTTCTTTGTGCAGCACTTTATTGCTGCTCTTTTAAAGAGATTTATAAATAAAATTGCTGTGGTATTGTCATGAAAGCAGCAAAAACTGACAAAATTGATCATAAACTATTAGAAATTTTTAAGTTTTTAGTATAAAGAAAGGTAAACATTAAAGTATGTGATAAAAAAAACATTAAGCACAAAGTAAACAAACAAATGTAGAGACGAACTGACAAAATGGCTTTTGAGAACAATAGAATCAACACATATAAGGTTCCTCTGGCTCTGCCCAGTGGTCCTGCTGCCATTTGCAGAAACACACCGCTCCCGGTCAGAAACAACCAATCAGTCAGGAAGAAAGTCTTTGCACTGTCAATCACACTCTTCCACGTGATGCTCAGACCCTTCCGCTGCTCAGTGTGTACCATCAGGCTCAAGTTTGCCAGTACACTGCAGCTGTATTGTTGGTGGAGAAACTTGTTCAGAATTTCAGACCACAATTTTCTCAGAACTGCCACTACAGCTTTAACAAAAGGACAAAGTTGTTTATTTGAGCTTTCAACCTCTGTTATTTTCTGGATTTTGACATGTTGGCAGCCTTTTGGACATTTCAGAGTCAAGGTAGTGACGTACATGCTGCAGGGTCCTCTGCATTAGTAGTGTAGCTGCTTCAACTAGAGTTCAGTTATGATGTGGTATTTAGGAGAAAGACAGATACCCCAAATATGTTAGCAAAATAAAATGCTGCAAATTAATTGTAAATCATGCAAAAGTAAGCTTAAAAATTGCTTTTATGTACAAAAGATGTAATCCCTGTAGATACTCTTCTTCTTCTGCCAATTTATGTAGCATATTATGTTCTCTTCTGCAGTAAGTCATGTTTAGTAGAGTAACTGAGGCGTCACTGAGAGTCTGCTTATGAAAATAAAATCTTTATTTATTCATATTGTCTGACCTTAGAGCACAAACAAAACAACACAAATCTGCTCACAGCAGAAAGGCAAGAAAAAAACAATTGTATTTTCTTGCATTAGTTGCTAAAAGGATATTGATTAAAATTGGTCTCGGCGGACCAAAGCTTTACAAAAAGAGGAGACCAGAAATTGGACGTAAAATCCAAAATATATTTTCTCTAAATCCGACTGGAACCTGCTTGCTTCCATCAGAACACTTTGGCTTCAGGAGCAGCTGAAACTAACCTTGTTATTTCTGTTCGAGTCGGTGCAGACGCTCAGCCATGCTAGGCATTGCAAGTGCTTAAAAGAGTGCTGACGTATAAAGCAAGCCGTGTTCAGAAGTGAAAAAGTCTCTGGGTTAAAGGTGGAATGACTTCAAGAAACATGATAATCCAGCAACTTCTATTTAAGCACTTAGACCTGATGCTACCTGCTCACCATGTGATTATTAACTATCTGGATTAAAATTTGGTTTAAATAGATTTTTTGGGGGGGGTTCAGATAAATGTAAAGCAAACTAAAAAGGTAAAAAAAGGGAAAAATATCACAATAATACCTACGTCTAAATCATTTATTGGAGGAGCTTTTTAATATTCCTTGCCAAAGCTTTTTTGCATCCTCTCCCTCCCATCACTCTTCTATAAGGCTCCCTTTCTTCTTGTATCCAAGTGAATTAAAGCCACCTTATTGCTGAATAAATGCCTGGGAGTGAGAATAAAAGAGTCATCAGCAGGAAAAAGAAAAAAAGCCTACATAACTAACATAAACCGATGATGTCCATTCATCCACGCAACCATCAGCTTGACCATGTGTAACACTGCATGGGCTTCGTGATGAGAAATTTCACTCTGGGGCCGGATACAGCCAAGGATTTTATAACTATTTGAATCTCATGCTCTGCTGGCAGTAAAACACAAACTCAAGTTGTTCTGCAATAAAACAGAACAGACATTTATGACCACATGCAAAATAAGAAAAAAAAAACAAAAAACAAAGATGCTTGATTCGGAAAAATAATGAGACGTGAGATTTGAATGTAACAACATCTGGTTAATTAATCACTTAGGGACATTAAAGACATTGGATTCTTGATCAAAAGTCTCTCTTCTGCATCTTTCTAAATTCAACACATGTGGGACATAGTACCAACTATTTTCCAGACACGCAACAATACGCTCCTGAGTCTCTCTCTCTCTGTTTTGTGGCTAATCCAAAATAAGTAGAAACAGTACAATGACCCTAACTTTTAATTCGGCGTTTTCAGCTCATGTATTGTCGCGTCTACTCTCTGCACCTTTCTGAACGTTCTGGAGGGTTGAATATCCCCCTTCACAGCAGGGGTCTCAAACTCCTAAAGAGCCCAGTTCCTGCAACTTTAAGACCCAGCTCTCCTTCAAGACATTTGTCTCAATATTTGCTCTTTACCAGAGTTGTGTAAAGCTTGACTGCATACCAAAGAAGCAATTTAGCAATTTGATTCAAGACCAGGGACTCATTTCAATTGGCAGCCCTCAAGGACTGAGAGCCCTTCTCTTTTAGCATTAAACGTGTCAATCAGATTGTTGTCTGATAGGGAATAACACTAAAATACAACTTTTTACAATACAGCTGACAATCTAAAAACTTTCTTTATTATATAATTTTCTAGTTTATTTTTCTATCAGACAGTTTTGAAAACCCCAGAAGACATTTTCAATCCATATTGTGCCATAAGCTTTATCTCAAGTAGCAAACACAACTCCATCATTGCTGTCTTAAAGCAGCACTGCCCTGATGCAACCCAATAAAAATTTCAGGATAGTTTCAAAGATCAAAGGCTGAAATATTTTACCTTTACAGCAGCCCTCCTTTGTGTAGCTGGAGGTTAATGGACATGTATTGGACTGTCAAATTCATCTAAATTGTCTAAATATCAAGCAAAAAATGCAAAAGTTCACTGAAAAAGACAGTAAGTTTTCCAGGAAATGTATTTGCACATAAATACACTCAGAGTTTTTTGTTTTAACAGTTTTTCTGCCTTTTTTAAAGGTTAATAGGGTAGTAGTTACCTGTAGTCATTTGTAAATGGTTGGGAAGAAGGGAAAGGCATGCAGTGAACAACCCAAGAACCGGTAATCGAACTCCAAACAGCTGAATGGAGGACTTTGATTTAAGCCACTTTAAGTGACAATTATTACAACAGAAACAAATGTACAAATACAAAAAAAAAAAACCTTCACTATCAGGATCAATGGACATATGGTGAAAATAAGTATAAGTCAAACTTTCTTCATACCTTTACAAGGCTGGGTCTCAAAGACCTGATTGGGGCAGCTGCCTTGGTTCTCCATGGCTTTAATGATCACCGCTCTGGATCGCGCCCGGCGACCGCTGGACTCAAAGCTGCGGCCCTCCAGGCAGATCAGCTGGCAGGAGCTCCAGGTGGACCACTGTGTCAAATGGCAATCACCTGAACAAATAATAAAAAAACAAAACCCATCAAGTCACAGATTGATCCTGATCCACAAATAATCTTCTGCTGTCCTATTGCCAACTATATGAAGTACTGTAAAATTTAACAGGAATAAAAGAACAACACATCTGTGAGAGTTGATGTTTGTGTGTGTGTGAGCCTATAAATGATACAGAAGACTTTCTTTCTTCAATGTCAAACACAAATATCCTTTGTGACGCTTGGTAGGATTTTCCTGCAGCGATAATATCATCCAAAGCCACCATCTCTCAGCCTGAGAAAGCCTCTGATTCTCTGCCTTGAACATCCATTAGTGACTATCTGTGAACTCAGGAATCTCATTATCTTTCATCTTCATACACAGACACTCCATCAGCTCTTGTCTTACACAGCTTCATCTGCGGCAACATGCTGCGGCTGGAGCCGCGCTAAACAGCTTTAAGCCGCATTTGCACGTTACATCTCACATTATGTCCAATGCACTTCCGCTTGACCTTACATTTCACCTGCTGGGACCTTCACACCAACAAACGCATGCATGCACGATGAAGACACGCATACATACACGCACACACACATCTGCCCTTGGCATCAAACTCTTCTGGTCTTCAGCCAAGACTCGCCGCATCGGCGGATTGAGTGATGAATCAAGCAGAGGATCACAGAGGAGGGAGATGAGCACAGGCAACCACTTACTCTTCATAGCAAAGCCTTACAAAAGGCTTTACAAGGCAGCATGACTGAGATTGCAGGTCTGAGAAACCTTTTCATCAATGATAATCACTGTGTGTTTTTAAAATGACAAGTGTTACAATGAACTAAAATGTTTTGCTACTTGTGCAGCAGCCATGCAAAGACGCACAGTAAAGTTTGTTGTAGAGGGATAAACGTTGACAGTATGGCAGGCCAGCTGCTGCCTCTCTGAAAATAACTTAATGCTCATTTCTTGGCTTAAGGAATAAATAAAAACCCTCCACTGTCACTAAATGACAGCAACAAATTAGTGAGATGCCGTCTCCTTGTTTATATGGTGATTATTCTAATGAAAAGGCGGCATAGATTCAATTAAAGATTATGGGAGATCATTTTGTTTACTCAACAAAATGATTTACTTTTAGCAAATTGTTTGATTAATTTAAAGTTCATTTAAGAAGTTAATATCCAGCTTACCACAGTAAAAGGATATTTGACCACTCGTGGAAAATGTCATTGTAAATTATATTTTCCTGACTTTTTAAGCACAGTTTACAAAGTTTTATTATGATGAGTTCAGACCTAAACTCAATATGTCAGATTATTTTGTGCTTTACCTCTTTCAGAATTAGTTTCAAGCGTATTTTGGGTAATTTTCCTCCTGGAACACCAGGCGACATCCAAGTTTCGACTGCGTTGATTTGAGGTCAAGCTCAAGAACTTTGAGTTTTGTCCTCCCTTGTCATTGTTCACTGCCAGTTCCTGGCTTTGAAACCGGCCCTTAGCATGACTCTACCACCAACTTACTTTTACAAGTCATTCAGTGTCTTTGCTCTTGGAAGCCTGACCTTTTGACTAGTTTAAAACAGTCTTTTGTCATTGTTGTTTAATGAAGAATTACATTTTTAATAATGTTTTTGATCTGTCTAAACCCACTGATTCACCTGATATTGGGGAACCAACTGTTCTTTGGTTTATAATAAAAGCCTGGATGTGAAATAGCTCAACACAGATGCTGATTAGTGGAAAATGGGCAGAAAAATAATAAGTCTGCATACACCACCTTCATGTGAGAAGGTCAAGCTGAAAGACGAACCGCCTTTTCTGATAATAGGACGCTGCATGCCAACAGCTATACTGTCACCAGTAAAATAAAAAGGTTTAAAAAAGAGTATAGAGCGATCATCCTTACAGAAAATTATTCTGCATCTTAGTATAGAAAAAATAAAAAATGTTTTTATCGTACTAATTTTGTTCGAAACTATTCTCCCTTGAAAAAGTTTCTAAAACATAAATGCAGTAAAAATAATCTAACAAATTAAGGCTAAACAACTTTTTTAAGTGAAATAATAATAAGTGCTACAAAAAAAAAAATCCATCTCAGAGTATTTCGATTTGTATTTTACCTTAAAGATTTTTATCTGTAATTACATAAATTTCTTTTACACTGAAAAAAAGTTAAGACATTAGATACATCTTTTAAACTAAGCATTTAATAGCGTTTCTTAATTTTTCCTAAACATTGTATATTTACAGTAAATCCCAGATACGTTCCAGCTTAAAACAACCTCATACCAGCATGTGTCTTTCTGACCCTATGAAGAAACCTCAACGTCTTGGAGTGGCCTAACCAAAGTCCTGACTTGAAACTCATTCAGAATCAGTGGACAAAGCTAAAGATTAGTGTGATGGAAAGTAGCTATTCCAACCTTACGGATTTGTAGCTCCTCACTGATGAAATAATCACCATCATAGTAGCGAATGTAAAAAAAACTATTCTGCAATAATAGGAAAGGTCTAATTGCTGTAATGACAAAAATAATTTTTCCACGAATGAATGAGAATTTAAATTGTTTTTGCCACGACATTTTTCAAGAAAATACATACAATTTTGAACACTGACAATCCTTCTACACAGTTTTATTAATTTTTGAGAAACGCTGATCTTATTTCCTGTGAAAAATAAAGTTGTCGGTTGAATGAATTAAATTTAAAATCAAAATCTGTCAGAGGTATGAATAATTGTAGCTTTTATAAAGAATAAATTCAGTCCAATCTAACCCTGTTCCAGATTAGATTGCTACTGATGTAGCTTTCATTTTTGCAAATGGAAATTTATTACGTTCACACACTCTCCATGTAGCGCTCCCATTGGTGTAAATTGTGTGTTTGTGATAAGTGAAATGATTGCCAGGGACTAGGTGATTGTTTGAAGCGGTGTGATTTGTTAATTATTTCCATTAACACAGAATATTTTTTCATGCATTATTTGCTTGTGGCTTATTACACTAATCATTGAAGAAACAACTAATCTCAAATTATTGATCACAATGTCTGTTATCTGTTTAATTGTTAAGACTGTGACTGACATAATATGCTACATAAGTCAAAATTCTCCCATTGCTTTCTATGAGAGAGAAATGGCTTCTTGTGTTGATCAGGGAGAACAACACGGATTATGTTCAGTGAAACAGGCCATTCGTAAAATTATGACTTTTATGGATTTTGCAATTACTTGGAGTCTGAAAATGTCAACTAGTCAAATGAGAGGGCCATATTTTAGAAAACAGGTACAAATGCTTTATATAAAATATTGGAACAACTGATCCGCTAATAAACTTTTTCTCCAGTCATGCAGTTACGTACCGTCTGATTTAACTCCCTAAGCTCTTTGGTTGTTCTTCTAAACAAAATGCCAATACATTAAAAGAGCAAATATGGGAATCCAATAAAAGTAAAGCGACTTTACCTGGGCAGGGGACGAAGCATGGCTGCTCCATTTCCTGCAGGAGTTGCTGCCTCAGCACATCTCCACACAGCTCTCTGTCTACAGGCTGAGGGGGAGGAGACTCGTGCCAGTTCCCCCAGTGGACAACACACGACAGGTTTCTTCTCCGGACTCCCTCTCCGCATTTTGCACCCTGAACAAATGCAAATACAACACATATATATACTTATGTCATCATGTTCCATTTTTCTTCTGAGTTTACACAATGTAAATTCACAGGTGTGCATTCTTGACCATATAATGACTCATGAATGCTCATGAAATATTACTATATCGGTGCATGAAGATTAGATAAATTCACATTTTTCCATCCAGGGAACATATTTACTGAGTGTCTGCAGTAATTTTGTGACACAATTATGAAATATTGTTCACCAACAGCATATTTAAGGACTGCTGTAATGCATTATTATGTAAAATCAGGAGATTATTAGTAAGATTACTAGAATGAAGCCTTGAACTCGAAGCCTTGAACTTGAACTCCATGTGAGATCTTTGTTTGCTTCTGTTTCTAATTGCAAAAAGTCCCAAGCTACTAAATACTTAAAGACATCAATTAAACATATTATAGACCAATTCCACATTTTTTCATTTAATCAGTCAGTGTTTATTAACGACTATTAAACAGTGAGATAATAATTAACTACAGGGGAAAAAAAAACTATGGTATATATAAAAAGAACAGATTTCTACATACGTATAAATGAAGGATTGAATGAATCGCTGTTCAGGGGCATTGAAATAAGTTATAGTAAAAGTCATTTTTAAAAACATGAACTTTTAAAAAGTACATTTACACATGTAGATAAAAGACGGTGGAAAAAGATATTTAAAAAAACTTTGTTTTTTATTAAACATGTTAACTAAATGGTAAACGTCTTCATATAAAGGGTATATTTAGGCTTTAAGAAAAGAGAAGTGTCATTAGCAAAGAAAAAGTATATACTGTGCAGAGATGTGTGGTACTGTTCTAGTTCTGAACTAAATGTTATTTTTTATTTGTATGTCTTTGGTGGCAAAAATGTAGATATAATCATTTTCTCTTGATTCCAACGGCTGAAAATAATTGTCACATTTTCTAAAAACGTGACAGCAATTTTTGAATCTAGTATTAACAGCACAATATACAACTTCTCTTCTTGATGTAGTCTTATTAAAAATAATCAAATAGTACACACATTTCAATATGAAGGCTAAGTGAATTTTGGAGGCAGTCGAATTGTTTTGCTGTATAATCAGAACTAAAAGCAAGAAAAGGAAGGCTTTGAATTGCCTTCAGGTTTGTAATTGTTTCAAAGAGTGATAACAAGATATGACACTTGCAAAAGAGAAAGTTACATAGTCACAGCCTCATTAAGTTCCACGGCTTTTGATTTTAAATTTGCTAAACTTACAGATGGATATTTTTAACCCACTTAGCCATTCAGAGTCACAACTCTTCCGATTGTGGATGGAGAGAATAGTACGCCACTTTGCACGATTAAATTAATGAGAAATGACAATTTTTTAAATATCAAAGTAGGTCAGACCTCTACAGCGCACGGAGACCAGTCATTCAGCAGCCACATATAGCACGGCTTTATGGAGCACGGCTTTGTTTGGGAGAGCTGGCTGGGGCAGGGACGACCCTCCTCGTGAGCCTCCTGAAGGATCCTCCGTGTGCGGACAGAGTGACCTACATAACATCAAGACCAAAACGACATTTTGAAGAACAGCTACACAGATTCAAAGAACATCTGCAAGCTGCAGCCTACTTTCAAAATTAAATACTTTCTGTCTGTGAAACTCCACAGTCGTGACATTTAGAAGTACTAATAAATGCATCTGCTGGAAATATATGCAATGTAGGATTCAGACTTAACAAGATCCAAAACATGTGAAGATTTAAAAATGTGCAAAAACACAAATCTTAATTCAGTATGAGTTAATTAAATTGTTTAGAAGTAAAAGCTGGCTCCATCTTCTCAATTTTACAAGAAATGTTTTTTTATTACAAAGAAGAATTAGCACAACTGTCAAACACATGAGTCATTTTGCCACTTTAACCTCAGAACTAGCAGTTTTCTACCAAAGTGCCTTGTTCAAGAGAGGCATTAATAATGTGTGAAGGGAACTGTTGGCAGTAGTGTGTTGTAGAGAAACACATACAAAAAAACAAAAAACTTTTATTCTATCCTAAGAAGTACATTTATCAGAGAAGTAAACTATTTCTTCCAGTAATGGTCGTTCAGATACTAAATGTGAATGTTTAATTTCAAAGGTCGAAGAGGTAGAAGCAGTCAAAGCAGCCGTAAAATATAGTCAAACTGATACACAGCAATGGACTCTAAGGTGGTACATAGACCGAAATATTAAAATTCTTAGTTGAAATTTGCAATCTTCCAGGACTGGAGAGCATTTAGCTCTATCCGGCTTCCCAGCAGCTCTGCATGATTCTGCTATCACTTTGTTTCATCAAAATATTGCTACTTTCAAGGACCATCGCTTGTACTTCACAAGGACAGATGTGACATATTATCTATATAATTTCCGTACCTTTATTTCTCAGTCTACAGAATCCTAGGAAGTTAAGAGAAAGCATTGCTTCAAACGGCAATTCAACAGAAAGTAAGTTTGTGCGTTTTTAGGGGTTTGTTCTGTAAGCCCCAGGCACTCAGAGTAAAGAGAAATTCAGCTCCACTAAAAAAAGAACAGCAAGAAAATAAAAGTATCAAACCAAAACATTGATGTTTCCCCAGTGTGCCAACAAAACAAAACATGATCTTTGCATCGCCTGACAGATATGACACAAATCCCTCATCAAGGTTGAAAGTCATATTTGTAAAAAGGAGCTGGGTGCGTGGCAGGAAGAGTCGCAGCAGCCGTGACAGAGCTCTGGGAGGTACAGCGAGAGACAAAGCCTCCAGTTTAAATCCTCAGCCGAGAGCAGCTGCAAGTGTGAGCTTTGGGAGTAAGGGGTTAAGTTTGGGCTGACAGACACCCAGTGACAAATTAAAATTAATGAACTTGAGGAGGCAGTGCTGAGTCCCTCTAATTATCTGGATAACAAGCTTTCTCTTTGGGAGGCTGACTTTGGGAAGCCAGGGAAACAATATATGGATCCAGGTTAAATCATTACTTTTGTATATTGCATGAGGTCAAGGCGCCACTCTCAAAGTGCCGGCAAGCCAGATTGGTGATTACGGACTTCATCTTTAAGCATGTTTCATAATTTATGGCGTCCGAACAGGTGAGCTGCATAGGATTTAGTTGTAATTAACCTAATTAAATATAAACAGAGTTCAGAAGTTCCTATGTTAATAAGGGAATTCTGATTTGTATGCTATAATGAAAAACTGAGACCAATTCCTAGAAGAAAATACAGTGGACAATTTTACTATGTAATAAGGCTGTGGATTGTATCAGCTTGTAAATAATTTAATGGATTTAAATGTATTCATGCACAATTTAGTATCACGGTGACTGCCTGAGAAGATGAAATAGCGAAGTGCTAAATATGCGGTTCACCGTGCGTCTGCCCAACAGGTTGCGTTTGTTGCTGGGTTTTTTTCGTTAACTCGGTTGAAGTTTGTTTTCTCATCACGCTTACCTTGGGTACCGCAGGTGTGCGAGCAATCCGCCCACGGCGACCAGTCGGAGAGGATGCAGCTGACAGGACAGTCAACAACGCAGCTCTGCAACAGCTGCAACTTGTTGATCAGACCAAACTGTAGGAAACAGGAGCCCTGCTTGTTTATTTCCAGCAACAACAAGAAAATTAAATACAAACAGCCAGATTTTCACATTTCAAATGAAGCTGCGGCTCACTGTAGAATGGTGGAGATGCAGCAGCTTAATGAATCCAACTAATGATAAAGTCTTCAGATCTTCAACTTTAACTGTGCATTCTGATAAATGCACGTCAAGCCTTTAATATAAGTATGAATATATTTAACATTGACAAAATCTTTCATCTAAGCTTAACCCTAAGAATAATCTGGCACAAATTTATAAATTAAGATTTTTTTTTTCAATGATTACTGAGAAAGATATCAAGATATAAAGGCAGTTTAAATAACTTTCAACTTGCTAAAAAATATTTTGGATTCTCATTTTATCTCTTTATTCCTAAACATAAATAAAATTGGATGGAACAAAAGGTACAAAAAGCATTTGTTAAAATTAAAGTTATTTCACCAGGTGACTCTGAACCCATCCAGTCACTGAATAAATGTTTAGAACAAATAAATGTGTGGATGTGCCAAAACTTTCATCAGGTGAACAAAAACAAAACTGAAGTCATTATTTTTGGACCTAAAGAGGAACGATCTAGAGTCAATGCACAGCTTCAGTTATTACGACTAATAACTAGCAATCAGGCCCGAAACCTGGGAGTAGTGATGGACTCTGACCTGAACCTTGCGAGCCACATAAAGACAGTAACAAAATCAGCCTTCTATCACCTGAAGAACATCTCCAGGATTAGAGGACTAATGTCTCAGCCAGATCTAGAGAAACTCATCCATGCGTTTGTCTTTAGTCGCATTGATTATTGCAACAGCGTCTTCACAGGCCTGTCCAACAAATCAATCAAACAGCTGCAACTGATCCAGAATGCTGCTGCTCGCGTTCTCACTAGAACCAGGAAAATAGAGCACATAACACCAGTTTTAAAGTCCCTCCACTGGCTCCCTGTAGCTCAAAGAATAGATTTTAAAATACTATTGTTGGTTTATAAATCACTGAACGGTTTAGCACCACAATACATCAAAGATCTGCTGTTGTTGTATCAACCTTCCCGACCTCTCAGGTTCTGGTTCTGGTCTGCTCTGCATCCCCAGAACCAGAACCAAGAGAGGAGAAGCAGCTTTCAGCATCTATGCACCAAAAATTTGGAACAAACTTCCAGAAAACTGTAAAACAGCGGAAACCCTGACTGGTGTGTTTAAATCTCAACTAAAAACACACCTGTTTAGAATTGTATTTGAAATGTAATATATAACAATTTATTGTTTATTCTATGTTGTATGACTTTGTGTTTTTGTGTTTATGATGTAAAGCACTTTGAAATGCCTTGCTGCTGAAATATGCTATACAAATAAAATTTGATTTGATTTTGATTTGATTTACACCTAAGCGTGAAGCGACAAGCCTTTCAATAATGTGTAATCTATGGCAGCGGAGCAGGAGCAGCTGTTGTGCATTAGCCGTCAGTAGTTGCCTATTGGAAAGGAGAACCATCACACTTATTCTAACACTAAAATATTCTTTTGAATAATTTAGTGTAACAAATTAAATGATCATTGAGATTTGATTTGCCGTTGTTTGGCTTTAAAAATAAAGGATTAAAACAAAACCTTGACCTAAGCACTCGTGTCTGTATCAAGGCTCTTTATTCTTTATAGGACCATTACCTCTAGGCACTTCTGCAACTCCACTGTTTTCCCATCACTCTGCACACAGTCCAGGAGACGTGACCGTGACCCCTGACCACAGATGGCATTTTCACTCAGCTGGCAGGTACTCCAGTCTACACACGAAGCATATAACATCTGCATTAGCACTTTTTTTTTTTATTTGGCAATGAAGGCTTACAAAAAAAAGACACACAAAGATGACTAACTGAAGCAGATACAATTTTTATTTTCTATCAACAGATCAGACAACCTTTTAGAAGAAAATTACAGAGACAGACACAAACAGTTATTTAGAAAAATAAATATTAAGAAATGGAGAAATAAAATGTGTGACAGAAATACTTAAAAAAAAAAGCATTTGTGATACATATCTACCATCAAGCTATCTATTTGCTAGTGAAAGATGAAGCATCTTCAATTGTTTCTGTTAATTTTGTGTGCTAGCATACATTAAAAGCTAGCACATAAAAATAAAAAATAAAAGACTACCCTATATATGCAGTTTTGTCACACAGCCCACTGCCAGAGATGTCACAGGTTTTGAGGGAACATGCAATTGGCATGCTGAGCGCAGGAATGTCCACCAGAGCTGCTGCACGTGAACAGACTGTCCATTTCTCTACCATAAATTGTCTTCAAAAGCAAGTTTTGGCAGTAGGAGTTTTATTTACATCAGTGTATGTAAACTTTTGAATTTGAAGAATTGCTCTCAGTATTGCAGCATTGAAACAGTTGCAGCAATCTTAACTCAAACATGAAGTGTTTGGTTTGTGCCAGTGCAGATATTGAGACAAAACGTTTATTTGTCCTTAATGTATAATTATTTGGTTTTAGCTGTATGTGCGCTATATGTAGGCATATCAGGCAAGCTGATGTTGGAGCATAATTTATCTAAGGCAAAGGATATTTCATCAACATGTAAGAGAGATAGAATTTTACTTATAAAAAGTGGAATTCACAACTGTGCTTGCAACTAACAAAACACAATTTGCTCCTCATTGATGCAATTTATTGTCTTATTCGGCCACTGTGGCTCTAACGGCAATGTAACGAAGATGGACTACAAGGCAGCTGTTCATTTGGAATTTAAGAGAGAATACAGACATGGCTGTTAAAGCAGGTAGCACTTAACCCTTTTAGGAGCCACTAGAGGCTGCAAACCTGAATGATTCATTCTGAGACACACTCTCTGATCGATGGAGAAAATAAAGACACAGGAAGCAAGCATCTTTCTAGTATAGACTCCAGACACATGGGACACAAAATTAGATTTGAGAGCATAAGTAAATTAATATGAGATGAAAACAGACTGCAAGAAGATGTATATAAAAAGTGCTTCAATAGTTTTACAACGTGAACAGGCATGTGTAGCTCACCCTACCTGAGACTCTGTACTGGTATGTGAAACAGGTACTGTTGAGAAGACAAGGTTCTGATTGGACCAGTTCTGGACAGGGTGCGTTCTCCACGGCGGGGAGGCGGAGGACTTGCCTGCTTCTGTTCCTCACACTGCCGGGATCGCACTGCTGCACAATGACGACAGCACCCAAAAAGAGTAGCTTAGTTTAAGAGATAACAGTTGAAGGATTTTTTATTTTTTTTATTTATTAGGGACAGTGCACATCAATGAACAATCAATACTTCTGTATATACTGTAAATGAGCCAGATTATAGCATAGTTGCTAATTTCCATCTATAGATATTATAAACATACAATCAAGAAATCACATTAACAAACATTCACAAAAGACACATTAAAAAGTTAGTGATAATGAGAACATGTCTGGGAAGTTTTAATAAACAATATCAGGTGTTCTTTGACAGCGCTATAGGGGGAACACTCTCTGATCCTAGCCGGCACACTGTTCCAGAAGTGACTCCCTCTGACTGACAGAACCGTTTGCCCAAATGTTGTTTTTCTGTAAGGGATCTCCAGGTCTCCTCTGGAAGACGCCCCGGTGCCAAGACCTCGCTCGGCTCTTGGACGGCGGAGTCCGGCGGTAACAGGCGCTTAAATTCCGCGACAAAGGGAAGGGGGAAGAAAAAAAAAAAAAAAAACCCTTGGTATTTTATTCTATGTTGCATGCCTTTGTGTTTTGTGTTTATGATGTAAAGCACTTTGAAATGCCTTGTAGCTGAAATGTGCTATACAAATAAAATTTGATTGATTGATTGATTGATTTAAAGTAGATAGCAAGTGGAGGTGGAGCGAGGATGAAGCCAGCTGAAATTAAACCTGCTCCGTGCCTGCACATTTTTCACAAGCTAGATCAAATCTTGCAAAAAATACCTCAGAGAATCACTTCAGAAATGTGAGTGCAAGTGCTTTTTAAGTTTCTTAATATTCTCTAACCCTCCATTTCAGAAAATTCACTGCTGCTATGCTGGGATTAGCAGGTAATTTTGAAAACAGTGTGAAGGAACAAATGATAAATTTATCCTATCAAGAAAACTGCACTTTACTGCCATAACTTTAATTTATTTCTATGGTAATTTGTCACAGTTTTTAGGAGCAAATCCCCCAATCCATCATTTCCTTCCAGAGTCTGAATACATTTTCCTGCTGCCATTCTTTTGAAGAAGAAGTAATTTTCGAAGGATGATTGTTAATTTATTTGTTGTTGTGGAAATAATTTCAATACCCTTTTAAAAACTTGACAAGACTTTCTATTGTAATGATGATCCTATTTCACTTTTACATTTCAGAACAAATCTGAAAAGAAAAACGAACCATGTTGCTATAAAGACAAGTTGAATTGAAAGGATCTTGTAATGCTTAACAAACTAGAAAAGTGTAGTCAGTCCAAAGAACAAGCTACTTTCAGATGAAAAAGTAAATCTTTACCACATTAATCAAGTCATCATATTATAACATACACGGTTTTAGTTATCCCAGAACCTGCGGTTCTTATAGCTTGCTGAAGTTCTCTCAAAGTTTTGAAGTAAAAACTTACAGCTTTATATGCAAAAAAGTGATTAAAAGTTTTCAAGCAGTTAATCTTTTCTATACCATAAAGCTCTTTGGATTGTTTGCATTTTATTTAGCATAAATCCTGATTTAGTCCTTTTTTGCATTCTACTCTGCCTCCTCTTGGCTTTGCGTTTATGAACAGCACATTTACGTATAGAGATATTGGTGATGCATGTGATTCGACCACACCCAGGATACTCCTGAGCATCACTCTCTAAGACTGTGGCAAGCTGCAGCCGTGTGCAACAAAAGCACATATCGCAAACACAATGCTACCACTGTGGCTATAACACAATGCTACCACTGTGGCTATAAAAGATGAAGTAGACATATTTTGTCACAATTCTCCCTCAGTATACAGAAAGTTTCTGAACTGCCAGTATAAACTTCAGCAGCAATACAGAAAAAAACAAAACTCCTTCTCATACCTAATGGGGCTATCACATCATCATTAATAATTAAACGATAAGCTTTCACAATCATATTATCACCAGCATAAAGATGAACAGATGAAAGGTCTTCTGCGCAGAAACTCGACCAGCCTTCTTTCTTCCTGTCATCCAGAAGGCCTGGCCATGACAACAACAAATGCTCCATTCTTGTGTAAAAAAACAGTGAGTGAAGGAAAACCCAATTGTAGTGAAATGGTTGCAGCCACATGGTGTGCAGAGAAGCCACACTTATTCCTAAGAAAGCAGCACCAACACAATGGGGGCATGAAATGCTCACAGCAGAAGTTCTGCTGATGTTCCTAGGCTCCAGGTCACTCTGCCATCAATGCCTCTATGTTCCACCCTGAGCCCTGATGCAGTGGTAGCATGAAAACACATCACCACAACATCACTAACGACGATTAGTGCTTGTTCAAAATCCTCCACAACTCTTCACCCTCCATTAAAAGCAATGGGAAGCCTATTATGACCTTGTTATGCCCTAAAATACCTTACAAAGACCAGCTGGCTGACTTTCTACAGCACAGAGTAAATCCGATGTGTAGGGGTCTTAAAGCAGTGAGGGATTAGTTTAACACTGATGCGTATCGTTGTACATGTAGGAAGCCCTACAAAGAATTATAAAACACTCAAAATGTTTTGGAACAATGACTCAAAAGTGTAGTTGAATCAGTTTCTTGAGATTAGAAAATTGTATTAGACGTCTACACTGTGAACATTTCTTACTAAATGAACTAAATGTGTAATTGTTAATATTTTTAAATCTAATGTACATAATTTGAAAAGTGCAGAGATTTTTTTTCTAACTTTTTTTATCCAAACTGATATAATCTCTTAATTGCATCAAGCTTGTTTGGATTGAATTGAACCTGCTACTTTTACTGTATCACTTTTGTTGTCAGATACCAAATTAAATACAAAGGCACATTTTTAGTGACATCTTATATTAACCCTATACCCATTATTAAATAAAAAAATCTCAAAATTATTACAAGAAATCAGTTCTGGAGATTAAAGGCACTTATGCAAATACAAAGTCACTGATACTAATCTGAGGTAAATCTCGCTATCTGAGAACTTTGCAGCCAGATGAATGTGAGGGTGATAATTACCTAGAGAGCAATTATCACAGCAGAGCACAGCCCTACCTTCAGGAAGAAATAGCGTAGTAGGATAAATTAAAGTCACATTAGCAGAACATGGAAGTACGTTGCCAGAGGAAGAGGAAATGCTGATCGAACCTGGGCTTCTAATTAAAGGGGAAAGTGATTAAAGAGTTTGCAGCAAACTGTATCTATCCCTCTGCACCCGACTCACGACTATATGCACCTCAGTCAATGTCACCGGTTAATGAGAACTCTTCTGTGTGGGTCTCATATATCAGACAGAGTCATTGTTCTGCTGATGTGTTCACACTGTCACACAGCCTCCAACTCACACATTTATTTTCTCTGTACATGGTGTTTCCTGTAATATTTAGTAAGAAAGCGTCACAAATCCATCCTCAGTCATTAAACAATTGAAACAATGTCATAAATAAGACTACGTACAGCCACTTGTGCAGCAAAATCACTTCAGCTACAAAGAAAAAAATATATAATTTTTCCATCATAATTTTGTATATGTACATATTCACATTTTAAGCAGAACCTCGACCAATTTTGCTGAAAAAACCTCCCAACAAATAAGTAGATACACGTGCTTCCATTTCCATGTTTTGATGACTGTAATTAATCCAACATTATTTTACATCTGAAGCAAACTGCTTCAGGGTAATTATATTTCAAGACCGATTACAGCATAATTTCTCATGTCTTATAGCGCTGCTGAAGGTTTCAGAATGAATCTCTGAATGAGATAGCATGTCTGTCAGACTAAAACGTAAAAGAAACCCCTAAGATTAATTAAGTGATCTCTATTGTTCCTTTCTCTTCATTCTGTTATTTCTCTAACTCCAATGTTCCAGTTCAGTGAACTGCTATTTCTGACAGAAAACCTATAATGTTACTGCATGGCCATATAACCACTAGCCTGTAGCTACAACACTGGGGAACATGTTGTGTTGTGTTAAAGCCTGAGGCCTAACTTTCAGAAAAGAATGAAAACATGAATTTACTTTTATCAGTGTTAAAGTGTGACTTCCTGGTTAAATTAATGATAATAGTGACACCATGTTGAAATATAACATTTGCATAAGTTGTACTAGGAAGTATAAAATTACATTCTGCAAATATGTAATTTATATTTATTTAAAATCAAAGATGTAGACAGGAAAGTGAAATCAACTGTGTCATAAAATATAAATTATGATATACTAGAGTAGTATTCATAGTTTTGCAACAGTTTTGAATGAAAATCTGTTTTGAATTTTTAAACATACAAACATCTTAATGATTCATGATGTTAAATACACAGAACTTCAGAGAGATACAGATGATCGTTACTTTTATACACATTTGTAAAAGAATGCTTCACTTTCAGAAGGTCAATGAAATCCACTGTGGTACAGTTGTGAAATTTCCTTGTTTTTAAATATTCCACATTCTACTGACTTTTTCTGAAAGACAGGAACTCCAGAACAAAACAGTGGGCTGTGTAAAATCAGAGTTTGCTGATGCTAAAGCACACGATGTGCAGAAGCTGACAAGTTCTGCAGAGTGACAGGATTCAGACCTGCAAGCTTCACATGGTCTTGAAATAATGCAACAAGCCATATCTAAAGAAATGCAATGACTGTGTTCACACAGCCAAACAGCTGGACCCAAGTCTTAGGTCCCCCAAGTACAATCCAAAATATCAGATGCAATGGTATAAAGAAGAGCCCCCAATAGATTCTCGGGGATTAAAGACTCATTTACCAGCTGGAAAGAGACAAGTTGTCATAACAGACATTTTGAATTATGTCATTCGGTAAATCAAGTGTCATGATTTACCGAATGACACTTTATGACAACAGTCATAAATATTCATGAAGACTTATTCATGTTCATGACAGGCGTTATGTCATGTTTCTGAAGATGTCATGACAGTCTTATTCACAACCCGTCAAATGAAGTGATACCGAACATTTTTTTCCTGTGGGTTAAGTCAATTAATTTTAGATTATATTTATTTAGTTTTACTTATTTTCCTATTGAAGTCACATAGTAGTAGTAAAACTTTTATATATATATTTTTAAAAAGATCTCTGTTTTAACTTTCTACTATGGCACACAATGCATCGGGGAAAAGATGGGGGAAAAGAAAATAAACAACTATTGCCTCTTACCGGAGGGCAGTTGCTCCATGCTCCCCAGGCGGACACAACGCAGTCATTAGGACAGGCTAAATAGCAAACCTGGGCCCTGGGAGGCATTGCCTCTGGATCACACATACTGTCGTTTGGGCTGCCATCCTCCATGCTTGCTGTTCCCCTCATCACACACCTACAAAATAAGAAATATATATATTTATATATAGCACTGGAAGCAGCTTTATAACAAGTCTCAAGGGGCTGACATCTCAGTCCACGAGGAATTTGTGGTCTCATCTTAAAGATTTTGACTCGGAGCGGATTGCTAAGAAATTGAAGTAATCTTATTTTAAGTGTTTAGTTTCTATCAGGTCTTTGAGTTTTCTCTGCTTTTTTAAAAAATACGAAGGTTTATCAAAACTGAAGCACGAGGTCAAAATGTTCATTTATTTTCCACATGAAACACTAGAATAATTTATTCACTCATCGATTTATATTCCTGTTATGCAAATAATTCCTAGTATGCTTCTGTTGAGGGATGGTAGTTTTTGACCCCAGGGGAACAGGATTTTGAAATTAAAAAAGTCACATTGCTCATTATTATTTATTATTATTAAGTAATATGCTATTTTCCATTTATGACTTTTGGAAAGTGACTAATCATCATTAAGTTTTCAAGAAAGTGTTTTGTTTTCTATATGATTTCATCAATATACAATCTTCCAGTATCAACAACTCATTATCTCCAACAGTGTCTGACTAATTATTATCTAAAAGGTTTGTTCCATATTTATTAAGTCATATAGTGCTATTTACTTCTCTCTCGCTCCCTCTCTCACAGACAAAAGTTTCTAAAAGGTTTTAGTTCACTGAAGTGAATGCAGCTCCTTGTGCAGTTTTCAGATTTTTTTCAGATTTTTTTGTTTTGATAAATAACTGCACGAAAAGTGGCACATTTGACCTTGTATATAAAGAAGTTTTTGTCATTTTCATTCCACTTCAGAATGATGCATTTAGTTTTGGTCTATTACAAAAACAGATCTCATAAAATACTTTGGTTATAACAGTAATAACAGCGGTCTGTGGTTGTAATATAAAAATATGCAGATAGTTAAATGAATGATTTTATTAGATAACAGATTTTGTTTCTGCTTCTTAAGTAAAAAGAAGCAGTAATAGTCTATTCTTAACAATACAGCTTGATTTAGGTTTCTGTTTCCTCCGTTGCTTTCTAAGTGCCAAGAAAGGCAAAGAACGTGAAAATTATCTGTCAGCATTCATTGTGAAGCAATACCTTGCTGTGACCGTTTCCCCTTAGCGCCGCAAGTGGGAATGACAAGTCAGTGAGTGTGCTACAGTGCTGTTGCCAATCCAACTTCTCTAGTTGTGTGCTGCCAAAACAGCCCAACAGTCGTCCAAGCCTAACCTGCTTACTGACCTGATCTTGCGACTCTGGACTCCCTCTCCGCAGGCTGGCAAGTCGTCCACAGTGTTGATGGTGCAAATGGACCAGGGCTCCATCCGCCACTCGTACTGGCTGCATTCCCTGTTGCATAGCACAGCCTCATACACCTAAATGCATGCATGAGCACGCAGACACACACACACACACACACACACGCACACCCACCCACCCACACACACACACACACCCACACACAGACACACAGATGTGAGCAGAATGAAGGAGAATGCATGAAAAATAAAAACCAAAATATGTGGGATTTTAAAAAAAAAACATCCATGCATATAAATCAGACCACTAGAGAACATAAACATACAAGGTATTCATTTATATCACTGTTTTATGTTATGAGAGGAAATATTCAACACCACTTTCAAAGATTTTTATGGAATTGATCAGAAATGAAAGGCTCCTGCTTTCAATAGGAACTGTTTCTTCCAACCTAACAAAAGAGCTGATACGTTTGAGAGCCTTGTTTTCTCTGACATGCAAATTCATAAAGCTCAGAGTGTAAAGCTATGATTCAAAGGTTGCAGCAACTTTTCTTTTCTGTGCCACGATGTGGAATGAAATGCCGCAGACCTGAACAAAACACCTTCACAAAGAGATACTCACACAGTTTTTTCTGCATTTCATTTCAATCAAACCCCAAATGCAAACACATATTTCTCCAATTCTGTTTTTTAAATCTTAGCAGGATATAAATGTCCCAAGTATACATTTTGCTCCTCACACAAAAATGCTGGATCGGAATGGAAGTGTATAAGCTAGCCTGCTGCACCCCCTGGAGCCTCCTTGTGTTGCTGCCATCTCCCATGATGAACTCTCTCTTCGTTTCCTCGTTATGACTTCATAAAAATATTGTATTAGTCTTTTTCATTATTTTTTTTGGTGAAGCGTCATGGTTTTCAAGGACTGGCAGAAAGAGGTTTGCAAATAGTGGATGCTGAATCATCCAAACGTGTTAGGAACCTGGTCCAAAACATTAGGCAATACTAAAAACATCATAATTAACTTTTTATTACCCATAATAACGTATTGCTTCATTAATCATTCTGATTGTAAATCTCATTCATAATGTAATGGTATTTTTGTTAAAAAATTGTATATAAATAAAAATAAACTGAATAGAAAAATTGGTTTTACACATTCAAGTTTCCATTATGTAAAATGTCTGCTTATTTAGGAATCCCAGTAGGATTCCCAGTAGACATGGGGTCTTTTTGCTCTTCTGTGTCAGATATCTGCAGTGACATAATGTGAACCTTTGTACCATACTGACGCATAGTTACGACTAGTTTAGAGAAAATTAGTGTTTTTTGCAGAAATGTTCCTTGAGCTTTCACGTCAAATGTTACACAACATGTGGTAAAAGCTTTCTTTTTCAAATTTTTTTATTTTATTTTTTTTTTTTGCACAAAAGGTAGAATGAGGCCATTTTTGTGAAAGCATGCATGATTGTAAAGAAACTCTGAAATGTCTTTTGAGATGCCAAAATTAAAAGATGAGAAAAGCCCCGTAGAAAGAAGCTCAACGGTACCTTTGAGTCTTAACATTCTGCAGCAGCAAGACAGGGATAAAGACTATTTTGTCCGTACGGAAAGAAACCTATGTAAGACATGGCGAGAACAGCATGGGGTGTGTGAAATGGCAACGACCATGGCAACAGCCCCTCCAGCCATCGATGTAATTGGCTGGATTTTGAGCTCATTCACTTCTCTCCTCTCTGCCGATGAATCTGGCATGTGTGTGTACGCAAGGGAGCAGTCGCCACAATGCTTCTGTAAAACACGTTTACTCTCAATCTATGTAACTGTCTGCCACGGTAAAAGGTACGCTCTTGAGGACAGTTTGTGGGAAAAGCTATGACAAGCTGTAATGCGTGTCAGAGAATGTGTGTGTGTTTGAGTGTTTGTGTGCTCAGACTGGAGAGTGGGAATGAGAGTCGAGTATTCCCTTCCCTGCGGGCCACACAGATGCCTATTACACACCGTCATCATCTCCCATCTGTCCCTACAGATGCCCCTGCTGGGAAAACTGGCAACTTCCCGACTCCCACTTTCAACTCTACCACTGCATATAGATAGTTTGTGAAAACCTGTAAAGAAATGAACTTTTAGTCATTTACTATCAACATTGTTTACTGACCACTAAAGTCTGGATTTTGAGAAACCACTGTTATGAAAATGTCAGGATTTCAATAATGAATCGGGTATAAAACGGGAAACATCATTATACTTTACAGCCGCAAAACATAAATATTTTGAAACCATTTTATTCAAAGAATATATGAAAGCTTAAAACATTTTCTGAAACAAAAAAAATACCCAAAGTAATCCTCATACTTTCATATATGGAGGATGATAAAATCTCTGCAAATCTGTAAACCTACCACAGTGTGATAAAACAAAAGGAGTATTTTAAGTGGAAAATGTTCAATGAATCTGTGGCAACACAGAAAAGGAATATAGTGAGCAGTTTTGCAACAAAGATTATGCAAGTAATTGAAAGTGCGCTCCGCAGTAGTAAACAGTAGGAGGATGGATTTCTCTTCACCTAACAAAAACAGTCTCTGTTGGAAAACACAAAAAAACGATACAAATCTGTTGAATGACAGCAAAACACTTTTTATCCTGTGGCTAGGAAAGATAGCTTGAGCAGGAAATCAACAGCCAGACCAATATGGTAACTGCAGGTGTTCTTTGTGCAGGTGTTCATGTAAGTGAATGCTTTGATAACTGACTGTATCTGAGTTGTATTTTTTTTTTTCTGTGACTGAGATTGACGGAGAAAATATTGAACTCTAGATGCTGCCTGGGAATTAAAATGTTTTCTTCAATAAACCACAAGTAGCATTGGCATTAAGTAACTTTTAAAATGTTGACGCAAGAAAACTATCTGGAATTCTTAAGTCAGAGATATGATAGACATTGTACTTGGAATTTGAGAGATCCATTACTGGAGTGCAGAAAAACCCTCATTAGCAAAACACTGACTGATTACATCAAGAAAAGTGAGATTTGCAAAATCACTGCATGTATGCATCATATAAAGATAAGTGAGGCAGTTAAAAAAGGAAAAAAATGATTTCTGACTCAATGGACATCAATTTTATCATGCTGGTTGGAACAGCAGCAGAAATTGCAACTTCTATCTGAACTCTCTATGTTTTTGAATAAACATTTTGAATAATTTTTATTCACAGGTGTTTATTCCCCACTGTGATGAATTCCAGATTGACTCAGGCTCACAAGATGCTGTTCCTTAAATCTACAAATCACTGCACACAGGCAACAGTTGTGACATCTTCATCTTAACTGAATAAATTATAATATCAATTTTTACTTTATTAACTCATGTTCACTCTGAGAGATTTGAAACCACTACTTCCTTTGAGTGTACACTCCGTTATGCATCTAACATAACACCGTCACTCTTAGGTAGCAGTTGCAATTATCTGTTTATAATCAAACTTTTTATACTTATAAATATTTAAAAATTGTGCATATGGTAATGAATATGAATGTTGTATTCTACAAGGCTGAACATAAAAGAAAAGAGAAACAAAATCCTACACAAAATAATAATGAACTACAAAGACTGAGCAAAACCCTGAGAAAAATGTTTTTTGTTCCAAGTACAAAGGTTACATTCACAGAATAAAGTAGAATTTGCAATCATTTATATTCATCACACCCTGAGTATCTCTATCCTCTGCTCTTTTGTTCTCCTTTAAAATGTTATGAAATCAATTTTCTTTGATAAGCAACACAAGTGCTCTACCCTGGCTTAGTTTCTTTGCGCTCACTTTCAAAAACCAAACTGGCAATTTAGAATATAAGGAAGAACTAATATTCTGTAAAATGTAAAACTAATCAGAGACTATCGAAGTGGGTTTGGTTCGAACTATTCCGTAAGCTTGATTTTTAAGCTTGTAACCAAAGGACCAAGAAGACAGCAGGACTGGTGAATTTGACAGATCTGACATGCATTTTGTCCTCATTAGCTGAAGCAGAGAATATGTACACAATGAATGGCACTGACCTGAGCCTGCGTGGATGTCCATATTAGCAGTGCATGACAAGCCAGAAGTTGAGGAGGGAGAGAAAACAATATGATCATTAGTTTAGATTTAGCCTGCGGTGACATAAATGTATAGCTTTGCCTTAATTTAGCTATAAAAACTACTGCATTCTGCTCAGTGTTTTGTTAATGAGGGCAAAGGATGATTAGGTGCTTCATCAGCTCGTTTGGTTAAACAGTGATTCAATACTGCTGAGAGATTTTTGAAGTGCCTCAGTTAGCTGTAACAGCTGTGCGTTGGCTGTGCCTGCAGTTGAGGGGCAACTCCAAGAAACTAGTTTGTCTGGAGATAGTGAGCATGAACAAACATATGCTCATGGAGCCTGCATGCTCGCTTCAAAAACAAGGTTCCTAGAAGTACATTTAAACTAGGGAACGTCTAAATTAACTTCACTGCTATTATGGATTGTTTTTAGCGCTGAACAGGAGAATTGGAATTATGTTTTATTCTATTTTACACTTTATACTAACTTTCCGCATGATACAATTCTGGACGGACGTTGACATTAATTGATTTATTTTAATTGTTTTATTGTCTATGGAAACTGAAGCACATTGAATTTTCAACCATCTGAACCAAACTTTTATATGACAGAAAATTTGTCAGGATGTTCAGGAGCAATCTACAAACTCAAAGGCTCCACAGTCCACACTGAGCCTGACCTGTCTTTGTCTTCCTATGCAAGTTTGCTTGATTCTCATCTCCCTTCGGTGCTCCCTCTGGGTTTTCTCCCACTGAACTCAATTTCTGTGTTTCAATTTCAACTGGACCAATCATCAAACAGGAGTAGGATTTATGAACAATAATAAGATTTTCTGAGCTGTTTTAAAATTATAGTCTGCCATGGTTGCAGTTTGGCAATGCAAGCAATAGTTTTCCAAAGCAGTGATCCAAACTGCTTATGTGAAGCAAAGTGTAGAACAAGTGGATTAAGCTGCCATGAAGACCCCAAACGAAAACAAAGTATTTGCTCTGAAAGAAAAACCTTCAACTATGACTTCAATTTACAGCTGTTGTATACTG